TTGACATCTAAAAATAGTGCTTTAATTCAATTAAAATTTCATAATATTGTTATATACGATACTTAATAATTTGATTGATTTCTAAATGAATAAGATTTTATATGCTTACTATTAGAAAATTTAGCATTTTTTGAATTAAGCTCAATTATACTTTATTTACTGTAATGCATAGGTAATAAATATGAATATGTTGCTATTACTGTTATAATATTGTAATAATAATGTGTGTGTAAAAGATAAATAAAGATTGGTTGACCTGTTGCTTGTAGATTGAGTAACATGTGCATGATGGTAAGCCGATGATATTTCCTTTAAATATTGCATGTTGATGTTATTATGTACTAATTCATGTGATACTAATTGAGAGTTATAAGGAGTTATTACGGTGTCGATGGATAAAGAGCGATGACTTTATTTACTGAGCCAACGATTATTTACTACTGATTACTGTTTACTCAAGAAATATTGTGATAGTGAGAATTCTTACTTTCTTAGTGTGAATACTAAAATACATGTTATTAAGCCATTTTTTCTATTACTATATGAATTTGCAAGCTTATAGTCAAATCAAGCTTCTCAAGGAAACGAACCCAATGACACCATATTCAGTCCAATCTGAGCCCAAATTAAAGGAAAAAAATCATACTTTAAAGCTTCAGAGCATTATATGAATGACTAAATGATATTCAAATATGAAATGCTTACCGTCGAATCAAGCGGCTCGATGAGACTAATCCAACAAGCCCAATATCACTCAATTATGACATTAATGAAGCACTTAAATGCTAATAAATGCTCTATGACCAAGGGAACCAATATGAGTCATTTAATGGAACACTACAAAATTACCCCGAATCTTTTCCATATCTACTAAGCATGTCACTCCCAAAAAATTATAAATAGACTTTCCATTCTTCACATGAGGAGGAAAAAAGGAAGGAGGAAGAAATGAATAGCTCTGAGACTGGAAGAATCCTGGAGCTTTACCCCGGCACCACCGCCAATGAATCCATACCAGCAGGTCATCTCTACTAAACCTTTGCCCAACCATTATTGTTGGACCTTCATGTGGAAGCCACTGTTGGGCCTTTTCTTCAATCATTGTTGCATGTCGACTATGGTACTTTCGACTATTATCATTCAACTATGATCCTTCCGACCTCCGTCGATAGCCGACTACGATCCTGATGACCACTGTCACCCAATTACAATTCTTCTTAGCTTTGCCATTCACCGACTACAGTCCCTCCTACATCTATCGCCCAAGTATCATCCTACCAATTCGATGAACTGGCCAACCCTCTCTTGAGGATAACTCTCATGTTATTAAATTCTTCCATCCATATAAAGTTATATATATGATGTATATGTGTTATATTAAGCCGACGCCTTCCCCCGAGGAAGGGCATCATTTGTAACCAATTACAAATATTAGTGGATTCATTCAAACTAGGCGATGCCCCATGAAATTTTCTCTTTTCATGGGTTTCCATGTAAAAACTCTAGTGTCTCTTATGAATGTTACATCCCTCTCTCTTATATGTATGTGCAATGGTTTTTTTGTACAAAGCTAAAATACTAAACTTTATATCTCTACAACCATGAATTTTCTAGGACGCAACAATTTTTATCGAATATTTGTCTGTGCATTTTTAAAGCATTTTTGTGGGTATGTGTTACTTCTTGAATTAGCTATTATTCATTAAATGTTTTAAAATGATCTTATAAATGTTTCTTATGTATAATTTTCTAAATGTGCATTATTGAGTATGTATGCAAATTTTATGTGTTATCTACTAAAATATCATTCATGTGATAATTCAAACATCTTTATTATTATGTTAAATGCTGCATATGGATGTTGAACACATTGATTTTTACATATACATGGCATTTGATTTCTTTAATAGGAATTTTGTAGTCTATTTAGCAATTGGTTGCTCAATTTATATGTTTATATGTCATTTTAAGAAAGAGTAAAGCATATACATAATAGATTAAAATTTGATAATGTTAAAATTCAACTGGGTGTATGTTCAGTACAAATGTATTCTTTTGATAATCCAGTTGATTATGAATTTATTTTGATGAATTAAAATATATTTGATTATTTTATATGACTCATTGGGATGAAATATGAATATTTATATGCTATTTTCTAAAATATGGATACTTAGTTGGCTCTATGCATGTGAATTTAATGATGAGATAATTAGAATTAAGTACAATTCTTTCAATTAAATTTTTGTGGTGTGACAACTAATGCCAACTTACTACATAACCAATAATGTTGATGCTGGTTATTATAAATAAGGATGACACTCATCATCATGAATAATACTGATGCTCATCATCACTAGTATGATTAACAATCACTGTTAATATATATCAATGTTAATACTTGTCATTACTAGTAAGGACAACTCTTGCTATTACCACAAAAAACTAATGTTTGTTGTTTATATCATTTTTGAAGCTCGCCTTCTAAGTCTTTTGTCTCCTCTCTTATCATGAGAGAAATTGAACATACTATTGAGTATCTCTTGTTGATAACTCTAGCGTCTCAATATTCTCTCTACTTATGAAACTTGTCATTTTAAATTCATGTCCATAATATTATATTAATAAATTCTCCAACTATAAGGAAATACACGTTTTATAATATATAATCATATTAGTGAAATTATTTCAACTAAAACATGCCATGTGATCTCCCCTACTAAAAAAATTTCAAGTAAAATATCTCAATATCCTTTTAAGTTATTATTAATTTATTTATGTTCATGTATTAGATTTTTTTAAAAACGTTTCTCTTTATCATCATAAATATTTCAACGCATAATAAGTGGCATATAGTTAAATCTCCAAAAAAAAAAAAAAATAGTCTTGCGACAAAATTGTAACTCAACCCCCATTTTATAAAAGAAATACAACAACAAAAACAACAAGCCTTTATCCCACTATGTGGGGTCGGCTACATGAATCCTTTCTCTCTATCGTGTCATATTAAGAGTCAAATTCTCATCTAAATCTAATAAAGAAAGGTCATTTCTAATATTTTCTAACTAAGTCTTTTTTTAGGTCTACCGCTATCTTTCTTAACATAAATCAAATTTAATACATCTACTTTCCTAATCTAGTCATCGGAAGGCCGCCATTTTATGTGACCAAACCATCTAAAGCGACTCACTATAATCTTATCTTCTACTGGAGCTACTCTAATATTTTCACGTATATACTCATTTCGTATCATGTCTTTAAGAGTAAAACCACTCATCCACCTAAGCATCCTCATCTCTGCAATACTTAACTTAATTTTATGCTTCTCTTTTAATGGTCAATATTCAACACCATAGAGCATTGCAGGTCTCACTTCGATTTTATAGAATTTTCCTTTAAGTTTGATAGAGATTTTTCTATCACACAATAAGCCCGATGCATTCCTCCACTTAAATCATCCAACTTGAATTCTACTAATAATAACCCCATCTATTTCACAATCACTCTGAACAATAGCCCAATATATCTAAAGCGTGTACTCTTATTAATGACTTGATCACTCAAAGTCACAGTCCCCCCATTAGATCTATTACTACTAAAATTACACTTTATATATTTAGTTTTAGACTTACTCAAGTGAAAGTCTTTAGATTCTAAGGTTTGACCTCCATAAATATATCATTAGCAAAAAGTATACACCAGGTACAACCTCTTGTAAATGTCTAGTGAGAACATCCATGACTAAAGCAAAAAAGATAAGGGCTTATAAAAGAAATAAAAGAGAATAATTTTCCCTATGAAGAAATAAAAAAAGAGGGATTCACTTATAAAACATATAATTTTTATGTCTTTATATTTCAATATATAGAAGGTTATATATTTATATAATATTTTTGTGTTTCTATTAAATTAAGATATAACAACAACAACAACAATATTAAGCCTGTATCCCACTACACGGGGTTGACTACATAAATCCTTTTTCTCCATTATGTCATGTTGTTGATCAAATTCTTATTTAAATATAATAAAAAAAATGTCATTTCTAAAATTTTCTAACCAAGTCTTTTTAAGTATACATCTACCTTTCTTAGCATTAGCTAAATATAATACATCTATTCTCCTAACCGGGTCATTAGAAGACCTTTGTTTTATGTGACCAAATCATCGAAGGCAACTCTATCTAATCTAATGTCTTACTGGAGGTACTCTAACCTTTTTACGTACATGCTCGTTTCGAATCCCGTCTCTAAGAGTAAATCCACTCATCTACTTGAGCATCCTCATATTTGCAACACTTAACTTAATATTATGCTTCTCTTTTAATGACCAACATTCTGCACAATAAAGAATTGTTGGTCTTACTACCATCTTATAAAATTTTCTCAAGTTTGAGGGAGATTTTTGTACCACATAACAGGCCCGATGCATACCTCAAGTTCAACCATCAAACTTGAATTCTACTAATAATATCCCCATCTATTGCATCATTACTCTGAACAATATAACCAAGATATCTAAAACAAATACTCTTATTAATGACTTAATCGTTCAAAGTTACAATCTCTAAATTATATCTATTACTATTAAAATTACACTCAATATATTCGCTTTTGAATCTATTGAAACAAAAACCTTTAGACCAATTGACTCGATAATTTAATTCAATTAAGATGTATAAAAATATATTATTATTTTAAAAAAACAATGTATTAATATTTTTTTTACTTAAAATCTAAATATTTTATTAAATAAACATAAAAGTTTAAATATTAAAATTTAAATACGTTACTAAAAATCCCAAAAATATATTTATTAGTCTTAACATTTCTTCCGTAGTCACCGAGGCTGCCCGGGTGCATTCCGGTCATTCCATCTACCTCGCAAGAATCCAGGAGGAACATGCGTACGGCTCATAGATTATTGGAACAGGGTAGTTCTGTAATTCTACCTCCAAACGGCACTGTTCTTCGAACAAGTAAGGAAAACTAGAAATCAAAACACCACGACCGTCCTTTTATCTTTTTACCGGAGCTGGGCCGGAGGTGCTGCGAAGAAGCGTTGTTTGGTGTGCAGGCACGAGGAGCTCAGCTAGAGAGAGAGAAACCCCAAGACAGGGACAAAGAGAGAGAAGGAGAGACAGAGGATTTTTTCTAGATAATTACCAACAAGGGAAGGTTTCCGGGTCTTCAATCGAGAGCTCCACGGCGGTTTCTGTGACATCGGTAGCTCCCGATCTCTGATTTCGAAGATCGTTATCGCCGCGGAGGCGGCGGAAAATCGGGTTTTAAAATCCCAATTAGGGTCACAGGCATAGGTCGTATGATCTATGGTAAGCAGCCCAAACCTTTTGAGTTATTTATTTTGCCCTCGATTCTGTTTTTTTTTTTTTTTCTCTCTTTTTCTCACTTGTTTAGGGATTAGGATTTGTGATTTGGTCCGAGCTGTTATGGTAGAACGAGTGCGGGTACATTCTCGAACTTGATTTTTTAGCGCTTGATATTAAGGCATTAGCAGAGATTGATGGTGGTAAATTTGGGAACTCCTATTTTTGGTACTTCGGACTTGGGAGTTGGAGAGGAAGCCGACATGTGGAGCTGCTTTTTTAAAGGGGTGTGGAGATGGTTGAATGCTCATGGGCGTGTTGATTGATATTAGTTTATATTGTCCAGTGAAAGAAAAACTGGGGACTGGGATCAGTTGATGTGCTGTGTGTTGGGATTTGAGGCATTTCATAGACGATTTCCATCATTTTTCATACTACTATGTTTTTTTTTTAATAAATAGGGATTTGATAGATTCAAACCGGTCAATTAGTATAGGGGCAGTGGGGAACTAATGGTTCCTTTGATTAAAATCAGTTCTTCTGTGTTTTGTACTTGGTAAGAACATGAGCTGAACTGCTGAAGCTTGCGTTTTACAATAGTAGGTTATTGGACCCTCTTTTTTCTTGCTACGTCTATGAGATGGAATATTTTTGTTACATTTATGAAGGGAATTTCTTTTGGAGCCTATGTCACCAGGGATAAGCTATAAGCTAGGGGAGATCCTTTTTTATGGACAATGGCCTTGTAATTTCCACATATCTGCAATCAGGGGGTAGGTGAGAGTGAAGGTATTATCTTTTTGGATCGATTATGAAGTCAGTACTAATTTTCTGGGACTGCAGCAAAGTTGTTGATTAGATGATAGAGAAGTAGACGTAGAAATGATTAGAACGGATGATATAATTTAGATGATGCAACAGGTAGCTTCCATTTATAGATGCACTGTGAGCCATTGTAGAGAAAATTTTACAATATTGAACCAAAGTGTTCATGCATGTCTTAGATGCGTGGGACAAGAAGCAAGAGAATTTTATTTCTTCCCTTTTGTGATGAGATGTTATTACTCTTTTATTCCTTGGTTTTTTGTAAAAGTTGCTTTTGCATATTGATTGTCTATCCTACAATGCTAATTTCTTCCACTTTTGATTCATGATACACTAAATGGATAATTAGTGGTGTAAACAAGTTGAGTTGAACTTGAGTCAACCCCATCCTGAGCTTGAGCTCGAGCTTCAATTGTACAAGTTTGAGTTGATTTATTTATTATGAAAGAGATAAGCTGATTCCAATTAAAGTAAACATTGTAATAAAATGATAAAATAATGATAAATTAAAAGAAAAATAATGATAAATTATTGAGATAAGGAAGAGAGAGATTCTTTTTTGGTATATGTAATAATTTTATTCTTGAAGTATTAAATTGTAATATATTTTAAGTCTGTTTTATCTTAATATTTTCTGAATAAGATGTCTCATGAGTTGATGATTCAAACTGGATTGAATTAGTTGCTCCCTTATCAATAATGTCTAATGAGTCAAAATATTTATATAACCATGCTTTGATCTAGGTTACAACAACAACATCAAGCCTTTATCCCTCTATGTGAGGTCGGCTACATGAATCCTTTTTCTCCATTGTGTCATCTTAAGGGTCAAATTTCATTTAAATCTAATAAAAAAAATGTCATTTCTGATATTTTCTAACCAAGTCTTTTTAGGTCTACTTCTCTCTTTCTTAACATAGGTCAAATCAGTAGGTTGACGTTTTATGTGTCCAAACCATCTAAGGCGATTCTCTCTAAATTTAGGAAACTTCTTCTAATGAATGTTGGGAAAGAAATGCTTGAAAATGGCTGTTTTACCAAGAGGCAAGGAGGCCCCACTCTAATGCCAAAGTTTGTGGATATAAATGAGGCTGTTCAACCCCTTATCTATATTAAGCTGGAAGGGGAGGTTTTGGGGTGAGGATCTTGAGTTAGCCTTTTTCATCTATCATGGGTGTGTGTTGGATCATTTGAGCTTATAGATTGAACTTATCTATTATTTTTGGACCCATCCATATTCCTCGTCCTCATTATTAGATGAAACTTAATGCACATTGTACATCAAGGATTAGGATTTGAGGTCTTAAGTAATATTTCAATGATTTAAAAAATCTATTTGTATGGAAGATCTACGATATTTTAATCTCATAGCACAATGAAGCAACAATGAGCTATAGATGACGTGGAGGGTAGAGGCAATGATGATGGAATAAAGAACAAAGTTAGAATTGAATGCACAATTCTTCGAGCTTTACACCATGGAATATTAGCGACTTCATATCCGAGGGGAAAAAGTTATTTTGACAGCCAAAAATTTTTTGTTAGGAAGAAACTAGTACCTTTTATCTAAAAAAAAAAAAAACAAATCTTTTTTGAAATCCATAAAGAAATAAAATATCAATACTTAAATTTGTAAACAAAATCTTGGTCATTTGATCATGGTGGAGTAGTAGTTGAATTAGGTTTAAATCAAGTTTAGTGCCTTTTGGGTATGCAAAACATAATTTAGTTCAAGTTCATATAGCAATGAACAAGAGAAATTTTGGCTAAGCATTCAATTTATTTGCATGTAATTCTCACCAGGTATGGTAAGTTGAAGGACCATGGCAAGGTTAATTTTTAATTTAGATCAACTATTTACTTTTTCATACATGGTTTAAAGATTTGCTGCATATATGCAATTTATCCCATAATCAATAGAGATTATTTCTCATCACAGCATGGCTGAATGTAAGAAAGCTGCGATATTTGTGTAATTAGAGATCTTCTTTCAGCTCTTTGTGGTTTAATGGTCGGTCCGGTGGGTCGGAGATGGAGCTTAGTGTTTTTGTGCATGCGCTGATGTTGCGATTGAGGTTGTAGGCAAAGAGATAGTGGAAGAAGACTTGAATGAATGGTAGAGTGGCAAAGGTGACACAATATTGTTGTGATACATTGTGTTTGCTGTTTTATTGCAACTTGGACAACAAATGAGAATAATAGAACGAGTCTAGTGTTTTTGTGCCTGCATTGATGCGATTGAGGTTGTAGTCAAAGTAATAGTTGAAGAAGACTCGAATGGATGGTAGAGTGATGAAGGTGGCATGATATTGGGATGCATTGTGTTTGCTGCATTATTGCAATGAGGTCAACATACAAGAATAATAGAATCACATGATTGGAGGGAAGCAGTGCAAAGTTGACATGAGATAGAAGGGCTTTGTTGAGGCTGAAAGCATGTGCAAGAAGCAATGTACGTCTGTGGAGCATATGTGTTGGAGTTGATAAGCAAGCGGTGAGGATGTAGACACATGATAGTGTGCATGTGAAGTAGGTGAGAATGGGAGCTAAAAGGTTGAGAGATGCGTACACAAGTTTGGTACAGGAGAAGAATTGATTACATATGTGAGATTTGTGTGTGGTAGAATGACTGAGAAAAGCATGCATAAAAGCATTTGGTTTATGTTAGATCGGTCCCCCGACAACCGGCCCCTAGTGGGCCGGTCTTGGTTTACACCAGGAGAGGGCGGCGTCAAAGAGAGAGAGAGGGAAGTGTGGTCCACTAAGAATCAAATTCAAATCCCTTGGAGGGAAAGGACGGGGCGGCGAGGGCTGTTTAGTAAATTGATCTTGATTAATTAGTGTATGCTTTAAGTAGGAGGGAGGAAATTAGGGTTAGAGCTATGTATGATTTGGAGTTTTTCTCTTGGAGTCTTCTTGGTGTCTTGTGCTCTAGATCCACAATCTAGAGATTGGGAGAGACGATCCTCCTCTTGAATTGAGGATCAATTGTATCTTGCTTGGAGTTTGTTTTTCTTTGATTCTACTATTGCAATCTATCGTTTTTAGATTGATTTCCTCCAGATTTTTTTGTTTTTCTCGCTGTTTTGACCAATTATTGATAGGGTTGCTTGCGAACTCAAGTATTTCTTCTTGGATTACTTGCGTACTCAAGTATTTCCTATCAGTTTCTTGGACAGGTTTGCAAGTAGAGGTGGAATAGGAGTTTAGGGTTTGCAGGAATTAGTAGGGGCTTGGGTGATATGGCTGGTTTAGGGTTTAGGTTGGTTCGATATGAAAATTGGAATTTTAGGCTTTTTTGTAAAATAAAAGATTTTATAACAAGTTAATAAAATGAAAACAGCATAAAACAGTTATAAGAAACACCAATTGAAAAAGAATAAACCAAAGTACACTGTCCTTGATAACTTGATAACAAAGAAGAAAGAGTCTTTTTGACAAAAAGGAGAACTTAAGAGTCCTTATTTACAATGTCTTGCATGTAGTCTGATATATCTGGTTGATTATCAATGTATTTTCTTTTTATTTCCGTCCCTCTTAGAAAATATGATTTGAAACTATTCATTCACTTGTGCTTTTATATTGTGAATGCTATCATCAGAGTTATAAGACTCTTAATTTAGGTCAACCACATCCTCGACAGTAGGATGATCATTAGGACCTAATACATCTATTGGATCTAGATCAATGATCTTGCTTGTAGATGATGTGCTGACCACATCTTTTAAGCCAAGGACAACCATGGAAGGCTTTGAATTCATGACAAGATATAAAGTTGATCCTAAGTTTTGTGTACACATCAAATCATAAATAGTAGGAATTGCGACCATGATGTTTGAAGGTAGATTTTGATCATTTGTATGCTAGCTTATATCTCCAAGAATTTTATGATGTGTTTTGGTTCTTGGATGTATTGGGGCTTTGATACCAAAAATTGATTGAGAGGGGAAGAGAAGTAACTTTGTATATACAATTTAAAGTGATTCATGTACATAACTTGAACTTAGAGAGGACTGAATTGATCGCAAATAATTTGCATTCATTTAATAATAATCAATCAATAATAATTCAATCACATTTCATGGGTCCTTATCTATAGAAAATAAGTTACACGGATAAAGCCAAATATTTAAATGCAATTATATTCCTATCAAAATCAAACAAATGTTCAAACTTATGCGTATTCTTATCCAATTAAAAAAAATCTAAGAATTTAAATTAAAGTAATATGAGAAGTTTGACTGAAATATAAATGGGCATAAATAAGGCTTGGTTCATATTTGTTACGGTTTGATTTGATTTTTTATAGCTTACCTAAGACCCCTTGTGCTTTTGTGGGCTGGTTTGACCTATTTGAAGGCTAATACTTCATTAATATTTCTTTTTAGGCACTTGGATTTTATTGTTTAAGCCATTATATTTGATTATATATTTTCTTGACCTTGTTTGACAAAGAGCCTTTCTGCCACTTCCTTAAACTTTAATAACATTGATTTTATTTTTATTTTGCTAATGTATGATCCTGGTCTTATTATCTGGTTCATGTTACCATTCTTTTGAGTTCTTTTCGTTGCAAATTAATATTCTCCATCAGTATCCAATTGGCTAACTTCTTCTTTGGTAACGTGTTCTAGCCTATACATCTTGTTATCGTTTGGCTGATTAGAGGAGAGTAGTTTAAATTTTCCTTTCTTCATTCCAAAGCATTTAGTACTTATTTCGACCTGAAATTTTGATTATGAAACCCTCTCCTCGCTTTTTTTTTTTTTATAATTTCCAGTCCTGCAGGCTCCAAAAAGCATCAGACTGTTATTTCAAATGGGCTATTTAATTAGTATTGGAAAGCAAAATTTTCATTATTAAGTGATAAAACAATTCTTTTCATGTCATCTTAATAACTTGAATTGTTAGTGATATTTATGTTGCAGTAGTCATTAGTATTATAATAAGTTGTGGAGTGACCATAGATTTTGAAATTACAATAGCATTATATTAAGATCCAATGCTGATTCCATTTTATTTATATTGGTTGTAGAGATGTTCATAAAAAATAATCAAACTTAATTGCGTCAGTGCATTCTTTTTGCAAATTGTATAGCTCTAATTGACAAGACCGTTCAGTTAAGCGGAAGCATAAATTTAAATTTTATAAAACTATCATTGAGTTGACTATTTTGTATGAATTTGAGTGTTGAGTTGATGTAGAATGGGAGACGCGCTTTGCTATGGAGGTTGGACAAACTCCAAACCCAAAAATCTAAGAGAACTAAACCACTGCAGGAATTTTCTGGCAGCAGTTTGCTGCACTGTGGGCAGCCAGCAAGAGCTTCATGGGAAGCGGAGGGAACTTCAGATTTAAAAAAAAAAAAAAAAAAGGAGGGTGAGGGAAAAACTAAGGA